TCACTTCCTGTTCATTCATGATTGTGGACATGGTAAACACTATCCTCCACAAGTTATGAATAAACAGGAACACTCAGTATAGAGATTTTTCATTTTCGGTTTCGTTTCAGTTTTGACATTTTTCATTTCGGTGCCCCTGTAGCGTTAATGATGGACTGAAGGGGGGATAGCCTGCTTAGTGGTAGGCCAACAAGGAGGAGGGAGTTACAGTAGTCGAGGTGAGATATTACAAGGGAGTGAATTAGAAGCTTTGTGGTATCATTTATTAAGAAGGAACACATTTTGGAAATGTTGAGGTTGAGTCTGCAAGATTCAGATACTGATTTGTATGTGGGGCTGAAAGGAGAGCTCAGAATCAAGGATTACTCTGAGCACCCTGGCTTGACGGGAGGGGTTGATTGTAGTGCTGTTGATTTGTGATGGAGATGTCGGGGAGGGAACACGGTGAGGAGAAAATATTAAAAGCTCCGTTTTGGACAGATTTAGTTTGAGGAAGTGGTGTGACATCCATGTCGATGTGTCGGTGAGTAGGTTAGTGATGCATGAGGAGGTAGAATGGGTGAGCTGAGGGGTAGAGAGATGTATTTGGGTGTCGTCAGCATAGAGATGGTAATGGAAGTCATGGGAGGTTATCAACTGTCCCAGGGTGGAGGTGTAGATGGAGAATAGAAGGGGCCCAAAGGACAGCTCCTTGGGGGACCCCCATGGATAGAGGAGGAGGAAGTAGAGTTATAGATGACACTGCAGGTGCGCTGGGATAGATAGAAGGTGAACCATGAGAGAACAGAGTCTTGGAGGCCAAGGGATTGAAGTTCATTGAGGAGGAGTGGGTGGTCAACTGTGTCAAAAGCAGCAGAAAGGTCCAGGAGTATGAGTACAGAGTAGTGGCCTTTGGTTTTAGTGGTTAATAAATCATAGTTTCTGTGGAGTGTTGCGGACAAAAGCCAGATTGAAAGGGGTTGAGGAGGTGGTTGGCAGTACGGTGGTGGCTCAGCCGGTTGTAGACCAGGCGCTCAAAAATTTTGGAGGTAAATGGGAGCAAGGGGATGGATAGACAGACAGACAGACAAAATACTTTTGTCATATATTGTGTGTTATGGATATCCTAACAAACAGCTTGTACTGAGCGATTTTAGGCACAAGTTACATGGCTGATGCTGTGCAAATCTGCTCACTTTGGGTCACCTTTTTGAAGGGCCTTTTAATATTCGTGATTTCATAACACCTTACATTTTTTCAGGCAGTATTACAAGGAGTTGCTATGTTTGTCATTGCACGACATAATCATACAGCATATGAGTTGCTGAGATAAAGGAATTTAATGAATTATGGCAATTTAGTATGTTGGAGTTACTTTTTGTACATTGGCTAACATATTTATATTATCTATTATCTATTCTATATTTTGTAACTAACGATTTTTTAAACTGAGGTATGCTTACTTCCAGGGGTTAATGTTAAAGGTTCAGGGAGTACTTCTGCTTGTGCATTGAGCCCCAAAAAGGGTTTGTGTTTTTTTGTTCTTTAATAAATTTTTCCCTAAAAACCACTCCTGTACGATTTATCATCTAACAGACTTCAGTCGCTAGAATTTAGTATATAAGTATATGCTTGGGTCAGGGCTGGACAAATCCCAGAAGCCAGGTTGCCAATGCTCCTTACAAATTTCAGCTGGTGCCCAACTTTGGAGGTTTTCTCCAGTTGGCTCCTGAATTCCATATAATAATTAGTCTAACTACTTGGGTAGTACTGCTCATAAACGCACACTACCCCTCAATCAATATATGGTTCATCTATTCTTGCCAGGCTATCATTTTGTTTTGGTTACACTGCAATAGAAATGGACTCTTTGATGGAATAGCTATTTAGATGTAGATAAGTGGCCAGTGGGCCCTATAGCAGTTTAGCTATGGGGTCCAGTTTTTGTTTATTGTTGTTTACCTTTTGCATGTTATGTTTATGGCTAAGTCTAACCATTTTACTGGAGACAAAGGAGATAAAAGGATTACTTCTGAAAGGCGTGCACTTTGAAAGTCATGTAATTGGGGGATGAGCAGGGCAGAATATATGATCTTATTCATTATATTTAAATATGTGACATTAGCAGCCACAGCCATTTGTTTTAATTTAATTACCTGTGATTGCTCCAAGTAGCATGGGTGGGAAGCTTTGTCTGAATGGCAGCTTTGAAATGTAAAGGAGAATCCAATTAAACTCTTATCTTGTTTTTACATTCTCTTCCCTGTTTGCAGAGTTAATTGGAACACAGAACCTGCCTTTGGGGTTATCCTCTGCTGGCTTTGCCATTACCTTCCTCTGTTACATCAGACTACCTAGCACTGTGAAAAAACAATGGAAGTACACACAAGCGTTATGGCCGTTGGCATAAAATAGAGTGATTTCTGGTACTGGTCTTGTTAAAAACGAACCTGTACTTTGTCCATGCAGGGTCAAGCAACAAATTTGCTTTAATTTTCCCCTTCTGCTATTTTTAGCTTCTGGGAACAAAGACTAATAAAAATAAATATATGGGGATGGGTAGATAGTCCTCAGCCCTCTGTAAGTTCTAAGTGGCCCAACTCTGAACTTTTATATAAGGCTTTCCTTGCTTCCAGAAGCTTTATGGGGTGGCAGGGGAGTGAGGGAAGGAGGGATATGTACTGATGGAGAAGGGGATCAAACTATTTATGTTGCTGGGCCCTGCATGGGTTTAAGTAGAACTGAAGGAAACATTTTTTTACGTTTTGGTGTCGGTGTTGTGTTTTGTTTTGTTGGTCAGCAGGTTCATTAGAACACCCTACTGGAAGATTCTTGTTGTGATGACAACCCAAAATACGGGACTTTCAGTTTCAATCATAATAGTCACCATAACAAATGGAGAGGGTGAATTTCCATAACAGGGACACTGCAATAAAAAATTGTCATGGGGTTTTTAATCCCTCTCCACTCCATCCAAAGCTAAAAAAAAGTGTTGCCCTTTCAGCTATACATACAGATGAGAAGACTGTGTTTCTATTTTTGGTTGGATCAGCTGACAATCTCATCTCTGTGAGGCCTGCGTGTGACTGTCAGCCTGTCCTCTCAGTAAAAACAATTGATTAAGCAAGTTACAAATCTTTATTGATCACTAGCAGTGCTACTTCGCTCTTCTCTACCTCAGAAGGCCACACTTTTTTTCTCGTTTAGCCCAAGCTCCATTCCTTCATCCAAACTTAAAAGTGCGAAAGGGGCAATCTCCCCTGCTGTCAGAGGTTCCCTCTCTCCCTCTCTCTCTCCCTCTCTCTCTCTCTCCCTCTCTCTCTCCCTCTCTCTCTAAAAGACTGGAGCTTATTGGCTGCCGACTGCTGATTGATTGAAGACGTCTGTCAGAAATTCTTTAATCAGCTGTTGAGGGATGCTCATCAAAAGGATGCCAACAGTGGCACACATTGTGTGATTTTTGTCTTGTTCCTCAAAATAACATTCGAACAGTGTATAGGCACCTTTTTAGTTTGGAGGTTTTCTCTAGTTGCGGTCAATAGAGCTGGCTCCTGGATTGGACAGAATGACTTCTGAGTTCCAAAATAATTTGTCCACACCTGGTTTTAGGATTATTTTAATGGGTTAAATGTGAATCTGGTTTATCTGCCTGTCGTTCTACTTTCGAAGTAGTGAGATGCAAAATGTCTCAGTGTGTCTCTTCTGTGGGCATATGCAGGTTTGATTTTGTGTATTTTTCTGATCAGAAATGTTTAAAGAAATCCAAGATTGCAAGATGTCTGCACTGGGGTGAGAAGAGTGTAGTGATGTGCTCATCATATCCCGAGATCGTCAGCTATATATTTTCTAGTACATCTCTATCTTTTGTGTACTGCCCTGTAACTAGGCAGTTGTTGGGTAATCCCCTTACACAACTATGAGTAGAACAGCTACAGTAAATCTCACCGGCTGTATAATAGAATGTAAATGGTGGAACCTTGCCAAGGCATATGTTCTGTAGCTGAAGATTTGTGGATCGGAGTATTGCAGCAAGTGTGAAGTACATTATTACAATTCCTTCACCCCAGTTCAGAAATGTACAGTTCTGAGGTTCTGTGTTTTCTGACTTTTTAAAGTGCGCTTGTGTCAAGGTTATGGACATAAATAATTTAAAGTACATATTCTTAACAACCAAAAAAAGCTTTAAAACAGGCCATCACTCACCTCTATAGCTGCTTGTACTGTAAAGTAATTCATTCTCAGGGCTCAGTCATGCGTTTGCACTGGCGTGAATGCTTGTAAAATGCATTGCTTGCTCTTTTACCTTCTATATAATTTTATGCACTGCAACATATTAAGATGTGTTACAACGCAATGGAATGTCATGCACTGCATAAAAACATGTTCAGTTATTCCAACTCACACCAAGGCAGGTCCTTGGTATGAACTGAATCCATGGGATATAAGACAAATTGCCTTGTGCTTGTGTTGGGGCTGAGTTGGCCAACAGTGCTGGTATTGAAAAAGCACAAAATTAGCCTAAAATTGGGCTTCAGTAGGTTTCTACCAGTGTAGAACAGGACTGGACAAATCCCAGGTGCCAGGTAGCCAATGCTCCCTAAAAATTCTGCTGGTTTTCTTTTGTTGTTGTTTTTTCTTTAGTGGTTGCCAATGGATTTGGACCCTAACAATAATCCCTGCAGGCTCCTAGATTGGAAAAACTGGCAGAATTCCATACCAATGTGTTCACCCCTGACGTAGAAACATCTGCTGTGTGTTTATATTAGAGGCCTGGTGGGTGGCCAAGATCTGCTCTCATAGAAATAAAGCTAAGATATCGATGTGAACTCTGAAAATGAATGTCTCCACAATGCCTGTAGATAAAACAAAAACGTGTTTATTGTGTGTTTATTGCTTGTTGGGGATATGTAAAAACTTTAGTGTGCATCTGAGCAGAGGCTGACTTTAAGGAAGATACAAAAATTATGGATTTTTTTGCTAATTTATTTTTCTTTTTTTGGTGGGGGTGCCTTTTTAAACAGATTTACAAATCTGGAGAGCGCAAGACAGTGTATACCCTGGCGGATCTGGTGAGGATTAAGACTTGGGTAATCTTTTATTCCTTTTCTGTTCCTTTAAAATACAATGCATACATAATGGTTGTTGTCGGCTATCATTTGCATGTTTCCTTCTACTTTATTAGAGCCCTTTTGATTATTGTAGCTTCATTATTATGATAAAGCTATCAATGTCTTGAACATTTTTTTTGTATTATAGTATTCCGAAAAAAACAAAACAAACGGAAACCTTTTTAAAATTCACGTTATTTTTAAACTTTATTATTTACCCTTTATTATTTACATCTGTGATCAAGAAGATCTTCAAAATACTTTCCGAAATAACTGTCCTAAGATGGGAAAGGGCATTATCACAAAGTATTTTCATGCAGAGTCAGAGAGTAGAATCACTTTACATGTGATGCATGTTCAGTGTAAAATCAATAACATGGCTAAAAGGTAATGTCAGGGATTTCCAATGACTGCTAAGGATTTATGTTGATGTTTGTTTACTTGTTTGCATGCATTTCCTTTGTATTTGTGTATGTAGTCGGCGTCACAACATTCTAGGAAAGTGCCGTTGTGTGTACGTGTGTGTTTAACTCCTAGACATCATCCATTACTTTTGGTATATTCTTGTGTTATGTGCACATTTGAATTATTAGGTAATTTACTATTTGGTTTTATATAGGGCTGCAACAACTAATCGACATAATCGATTATAATCGATTATTGAAAAAGTTGTCAACTTTTTCAATAATCAATAATAAGCACTAATCAAGGTAAAGCTGAACTCCAGATTACACAAATGTTGGCTAAATCTAGGAGGTATGTGTTTTTCTATTTGAATCTTGGTGTGCTTTGTGTATTTCTTCCATATCTGAGCAGTAATCCAGTGTAAAACTTTGCCTCTGTGTAGGAGCTTCCTGTTATACAGACCAGTCACAGCTGTTCGCTCTACTTGTGCAGGATGTGCGGCCCCCTTACCTGTAGTTATCTGGAGGCAGCCTGTAGTGGGTGGGGCCTGCTGGGTCCCTCCCACAGCTCAACAATGATGATGAGAGGATTAAAATAATGTCCTTTTTAAGTACTTGTTCACAGAATGGCGTACTAGAAACGCTGCATGTTGGGTTCATTTTTTCCTGCATTTGTCACGCGTCGCCCAATAATTTCAAAGGGTCCCGTCTGTGTGACTAACACGGGAAAATAACTCGTGTAGCAGATTGTGCTACAGGTGTGTGTTTAGCGCGCGTTTACGGAATGTGAAGGTGTGAATGGGGACCAAAATAACAATTCTTATTGCTGCTCCCCCTCTCTGTCCCGTCTACTTGGCAGTATAGATCAACGGTTGGATGTGCAGCCCCAGCACTGCACGAGCGAGTGCTCTTCTACGAGCATTCAACTTGCCTAAGTACACACGTGCCATCTGCTTTCTCTTGGGCAGTGGCTGAGCTCAGCGTTCGGCGAGTGAGAGAGTAAGTGGACTGTTTTATGTGATAATAATGACAGTATAAGCCGTTAGTGTACAGAAGTCATGTTCTTAGAAGAGAACACACAGAACAGGCACAGGAAACACATCACAGGAAACAAGTGCCACACTCATAACATGGACTGCGCATGTGTTGTTAGGTGGGCCGAGTTCTCATATGGGTCTTCGTGAGGGACTGGGACTGCGCATCCACAGAGAGCGGGTGCCCATGGCAGCAGCAGTATGAAAAATGCTTAAAAATGGAGGGCAGAATTTTAACTTGAATAAACGAAAATATTAAATGAGAACTAACTCCTTAACTGCCATGTAGTCTGTAGAGACAATCGGGACCTTGCTGTGCTGGCTGGTAGTGGTTCCTGGACGAGCAGATTGGCTGAAGAAATGTATGAATGGTTTGGCAGGTATAACCACTGACATAGAAAAGTTAAAGGAGCTGTCCACTAATGCAGCAGTGTTAAGTAAGTGTTATTACTTGGTGTGCTACTTCCTGTGTGTGCGGACCGGGGTGTCCGACGTGTGTAACAAAAGTGGGGGAGGAAGCGCCACAACCAGGCAAAGACCTCTGGAAGGGTAGAGTCCCACGTTGTAGATGAGCCAGATGGGTGGACTTGGTTTGGAGTTATGGTGTTGCGAATAGGCGTGATGGTAATGATCCAGTGAGTGTTGTGCCTTCCGGCTTTTAGTGAATGGGAAATAAAACCGGTGGACAGGTGAAAGTTCAGGAATAGTTCGGTCACGTGTGTGTAATATGTTGAAACTCAGCGTTAAGTTGGTAGAGACGTGATGTCATCGATGAAGGTTGAGGCGGCTGGCTTTGAATCCGTAAGGTTAATGGAGACGTGATGTCCTACCTTCGCCGATGACTTCACATCGCCATTAACCTCACGGATTCAAAGCCAGCCGCCTCAACCTTCACCGTTAAGTTGCTGGAGACTCCATTGCAGCTCCACCAACTTAACGGTGAGTTTCTACATATCACACTCGTGCCCGAACTATTCCTGAATTTTCACCTGTCTACCGGTTTTATTTCCCACTCTGATTCCCTTCACTGAAAGCCGGAAGGCACAACACTCGCTGGATCATCACCATCACGCCTATTCCCAACACCATAACTCCAAACACAATGTGGGATTCTACCCTTCCACAGGTCTTTGCCTGGTTGTTGCGCTTCCTCCGACACTTTTTTTCTTTTATAACCACTGACATACATGCATGTTATGTATATAGCTGCCTGTCTGTCTGGAGTTCATCTTTAAACTAAATGTATGTATTCATTGCTAGCAAGTTGACCTATCTGTCTGAAGACCATTGTACTTTCCATTTGTGATTTGTATGCAAAGTAAAAGCAGATAGGAGTTTCTCCTGACACATGTAATCACTTAGGACCCACACAAGTCAGTAGTAGGCATGTGGTGACATCACACAGGAATGAGCAGTGCTAGCACTGCCGAGTGACATTTATTCCAACCATTGGTCTACAGACCCTTTCCAAGCCACATCAACACTTGAGTCAGATTTTTGGGGAATAGGAATGCCAGAAACTGGAAAAGTTCTATGAAAGTATTTAATATTGCCTTAGACTAATGACGACGTGTCTGGTCAATAAAGTATCTTTTTTTTTTATACAGTTGACCACATGGATATTAATGCTTATATTTCACCAGCATGCATATACGCATGTAGGCAGCAAATATACTGTGCATGAATAACTGTGAGGTATCTTATTCACAGACAGAAAAAGTCCCTGTCGTCAACTTTAAAAAAAAAACAACCTGGTATTTCTGAGATTTGACTTTCAATTTTGATGTTGACTTGCAGTGGTTTTCCTTTCCATCAGTGATTTTTATTTATATACAGTGTGCCTTGCTGGTAAATTCCCTAGCACAGCCCCCTCCCTCCTTGCAACTCGTAGCCCTCTCCTCTTCTGGGAGTGTGTAGTCACTGTCTATGCCGACCCAGCTCCTTAGTCCCTTCCTACATAATCTTTTATGTAGCTGCCAGGGGTGGAGCGAAGCGGCATACTATAGAGCTGGGGTGGGCAAACTCCAGACCTCCAGCTGTTGTAGAACTATAAATCACATGAGGCTTTGCAAGACTCTTACAGCCAAATGTATGACCCCCCAGAGGCAAATGCATGATGGGATTTGTAATTTCACCACAGCTGGAGTGTCGTGGTTGCCTACCCGTGGATTATGGCCTCACACACTTAAAGGCAAATCAGGAGTTTGTGTTTCTAATATGATGATGTAATATAAGCCACTGATAGAAGGGTAACAGACAAGTATTTTACAGGGTACATTTTGTTAGAATTATATTTTACATTTGTTACAATAGTAATGGAGGAATACAAGTAATTAACATATTATTTGTCCCAGCCAATGCAGCATCCTTTTCCTTCTTTTCCTCTGAAAGCATGTATTCTTAGGTGTTTTTCTTTCTACCTAAGCTAGGGATTCCCTCTTCTAACAAATAACATAAGGGGTGGCTTTACAGAGAAGGAAAAAAATGGCAGCTATTTCCCCTTTAAAATTAGTATGTTTCCCTCCCTGAGACCTAAAATGTTGATTCAATTAAAAACCTGTAGCTTAATGTTGTGGCCCTACTCTGACCTCCTCCCTGTACCCCTCCTGCTTCAGATGAGGAACACTAATTCTGGGAGCATGTTTAACCCCTCACATACTGAATTATTAATAAATAAATAAAAGAATTATATTTGTAACTTGGCACTTTTGCCATTTCCTATGAGAGCAATAATTTTTAACTAATTCATTCACATGCTTAGGACAGGGCTTCTCTGCCCGGATTCATTGTGCTAATATATGTAGACGTGTGTGCATTTCATAGATTTACATGAAAAAATAAACAAAAATAAATATGAGGTGTGTGTACTCACAATTCTTTTTATAATGAGGACCTGTTTAGAGTGAATAGTCTTGCTTTTGCCATTATTTTAAAGATATAATAATGATAATTTTCTTGCTAATGATCTTAATACGCCATGTATATTACAGTGGACCTTTTACCCCCCTTCACTAAAAATCACAGCAGTTTGTAGCTCTGCATGCTGATTTTAAAATCATCTTACATTTATTAGTTAAACCAACATGTTTTTCAATTTTCTTACAAATAGAGTTCATGTACTTCCTGTTCCAGTTCTGGCAGAAATTATGTAATGTGCCAAAGCATTGCAACCTGGGAAGGTTACATCAGCAGAGCATTGCTGGGAAATCTCATCTGTAATTGAGATGTCAGGGAAAGGCATTTTCCTCCCCTGAGATGATGTGCATGGTCACATGTCCTAGTCACGTGTGCCAGAGTCCCAGGAGGTAAAGAAAGATCTAGTAACCTGTCCCTATCTGTATGTAATTGGAGATTGTCATTACTAAACATTTCTAAAGGTGTGTTTGTTGTTATTTTAAAGATATGGTTAAAGGTCCACTTTATTGTGTTTTTAAGCCTTATTTTATACATAGTGTGTAATCCCGTATTGACATAAGGCAGATGTATCCTTATGACATAAGGGCAACTATTTAGTATCATTACATACTTAGACTATGCATAC